AAAGTTTGTAAATTCGTTTTCTTCCAGCTGGTTAACAAAAGGAGCGATAATTTCTTCTCTATACCTTTGCGCAGTAAGAGTACCATTAAAAAAAATAGGTCCATAAATCCTCCTTCGATTGGGAGCACACCAAACTCCAATTTTTTGAGCGTGTAGAGAGCCCTCGACAAAAAAGTTATCTGGTTTTTCAGAAGACCACATTCTCATATTCTGTGAGTTTACGTAACCACTTAAATGAAACCAGGCTTCATCAGAAAAAAAGGTGATATTATGAAGTTCACCGTAGTTGTTTAAAAACCATTCACAAAATACAGCCCGTCGTGGAAAATCAACTTCATGAAGTTCTTGCTGACAAGTTAAACGATAGGAGAACAAACACAAATCTTTTTTTAACAATGTGTGGCAGGTACCGACTGATACTCCCACCATTTGTGATAAAACACGTACAGAAGTTCTTGGCGCACTTTCCATCATTTGTTGGACATTTTCTTTTAATTCTTCAATTCGCTTTTTAGGTCGGCCGCTTCCTTCTTTTCTTGTTACACTGCCCGTTTCACGAAAAACATTAACACAACGCTGAACTGCACTTTGAAAAATTTTGTACTCAACAACGCCGGGAAATTGATTTTGCAATTCTATGAAACATTCCTCAATAGAATACTTCCATATTCCATCAATCTTGCGTCCATTTCTAAAGTAGGACTCTATGATAAACACTTTTTGTTCTTGAGAAAATACCATTCTAAACGCTTTTTAAAACGAATTTATTCAAATTGATAGCGGCGATATAGCGCTTTGACAGATGACGTTTAAGTTCATTTGCTATACGCTACGCCCTACGTCCAAATTTTCAGAACCAACTTGACCGCGTTTTTATTTGAACGCTCGTTATAATGAGTATCGTAAAAATGCACTTGATCAAATAAATCAATTTTGTTGTTAATCGGTTTGGAATACAAAAATGTGTAAAGAGACAAAAAGTGAAGATAATTCAATGGCGCATATGATGACCTATTTTATTTGTTATATTATACAGGGTGATATATATATTTTTTGGCAAACAATGGTCGATGATACCCACACCTCCGCCACTGGTAAGTTTTTAAAGCTGGTAATTTTTTATTTCATACCTACTGTCATACTAAATATGCACACCGAATTTGGTTAAATTATCTCAAGCGGTGTAGAAGTTAAAAATTAAAAACTGATTTTTTTTAAATTTTTGGCACGCTGCGCGCTGTAGCTGGACAATGGCTGTCCTAAGACCTTATCCCTTATTTTGGCCACAAAATACGTCCCTCGATTTTTTTACCTCTACTTAAGAAACACCCTGTATAAAGTTAAGTATTATTCTATGGAACCAAAATCTATTTGACTTGACCAAATAGTTTTCTGTGTTCCTCGGAACCAAAATCTTCATTTTATTCCTTGCAAACAGACAAGGGCTATAACCCAACGTCGAGTAAACTGTTATCCATCATTGCTGCCACATTATTTTAATTTATAAATACTGGCCGTACGGCAAATCGAAACGATTCCGAATATCACTCATTGCGGCCGTCAAAAATATCTAGTTAATGTCGGGAAAGCAGAAAGCATTACCGAGCCTGACGGGGAATGGCCCATAAACCATCGTACTTTACACAAGCTTAATCTCAAAGTTCCACACGGACGGCCCTGCATGACTAATCCGTATACATAATGCACGCGTGTTTGTTTGGAAAACTTATTAACGAAATGAAAGCTCCGATCGCCTTATCGTAAACACTTTTGCTCTCGGTTTTGAAGTCCGAAGCGATTTTTTTATAACCGCTAATGAGAGCGGGTAAAATTAGAGCAGGGGAACATCTGACAGGCGGCTCGGGCAGCCTCCTCGATCGGTCGTTTTTTATGGGATCAATCACCCTTGGTTGAATATCAGTTATCTTTATTGTCTCTAATTGAGGATTTAGATATGTATCACTCTTTTATAGTTTGATTAGGGATTAATGACCACTTAGGTTTTATTACCGTTGCGGATTGATGACACGGAGTTCGACATCAATCTCTGCAACAGTCGTACGTTTACTCTGTACAGTGTGTACACGAGATAGTAGGGATTTTATTTTTTCAGATGTTTCAGATTTTTTTTTGTTGCAATTAGCACGATGCACTTTTAAATTCTGGTAACAGGCCAGTCGAATTATATCGTAAACCCTGTAGACAAAAAAATTATCAGTAGACATTCTATTGCACTTTATGACGTAGAATGACAATATAAAAAAAGTGACTCGAAACAAGTACGCTCGGGAATTCGCTCTTTTTACAAGCTTTTATTTAACTTTCCTTGTTGGTATGGGTCAAATCTTGCAACTGAATTTTAAAACTGTTATCCCCAACCGATTGAGCTGAAATTTTGCATACGCGCTTAGTTTGACGTCATTCTGAATCTAATATGGCGGACTCCCAAAGATGGTGGACCAGTTATTTTTTATGCACCCCCATGATATGGGTATCAAATGAAAGGGTTGAGAAGAATGCGAAAATAAAATGACGTCGCACTAAATTCAATATGGCGAACGCCCCAATGTGGCTGTTAATTTTTTTTTAATTTCACATGTATGTTTAGTTCAAATCTTACAAGCCAAATTTTAACCACTTCCTCTAAACTTACGACTTTGTTTTGCATGTTTCTTCAGTTCTGATGACAAAACTAAAAAGGTGAAAATAAAAAACTTTTATTAAAATGCACTAAAATGAAAAAGTAAACCAAGAAGTTCATAAAACCCATAAGCTGATTATAGATAGGACGTGTCTATTTATCATACTTTACAGATGACACTTCTATAGAGCAGCCATATTCAACCCATTTGTGGGTTTGGGGTTTGCACATTTTCTTTTCAGTGCATTTTAATAAAAACTGTTATTTTTTTTTAAATTACATTTCATTTATTGCATTAAATAGAGCTTAAAAGTTAAATAAATAAAATATTAAATAAAAAATCTTGCGCGCATCCGGACTTATATTGTTGCTAGCGCGTTTATTACATGAACTATCAATGTAAAACTTTTTGAAAATAAAAGTTTAACCCTTTCTTTAATTGTCTGTAAAATCCCGGTCCCATACGTTAAATAGTTAATTATTAATTAACGTTATATAAAAAAAAGCTGTCTTAGGAACAAAGAGGCGTAGGTGATTTCCTTTTTTTAATTACCGTAAAAATAAGCTCTATTTAATGCAAAAAGAGCGAATTCACGAGCGACTTTTGCCTGAGCCTGGGACAATTTATTTATATCCCTGTTTTTTTTCTTTTTCGATACATTTCTTTGGATCAATTAGAACCTATATCCGCAATATTAACTTCTAAAATTAACGTTAGTAATTAAAAAATTACATATGTACTTACAAAAATAAACGAATTAAGTACCTGGACAACAATTTCACGGTCAATCGAATCGGCCTTTCGTGTATATGTTGATTTTTGGATTGGCCGTCTTTTCCATAAACATCAACATTCATCGCTTTTTGCAATAATAATGCGCAATTTTCGAAAACTAATTTTTCCGCGTTTGACCTTTATTTTACAGTTAAAAAATTGCTGAATTATGACTTTAGGTACCTTAAATTGTATGTAATTTAATTGCCTACAACATAAAATAACTAATTTTCCGATAGCTATCTAGATTTTCATGGACAGTAAACGAAAAAGTGAAAAAATACGTAATTTTGCCACTTACTTTCGAGTTAGTTTTTTGATACTATCATTCTATACACCCTTTACCGTCATAAAATGCAAAAAGGTCTACTAATATTTTTTTACGTTCAAATTGTCTCAAAATGGGTCGTTATCCATTAATTTTTTTTTTATATTTTCAATATTTTTGGGGTAAAAAGACAGCAGAAGAAGGTGATCAGAATTTACATACCAACTGAAAGAAGAGTAACTTTGGAGATTTTTACTTTTCTTTTAAAAGTACTGAACTTATTCAAATAAATTCAAAAAAATAATTTTTAAAAATCTTATCAAATGAAATCAAACAATACTAGACATCTAGGCATGCAAAATATGTTCAACCTCACACACAACAGTGCTAATTGCTGATAGTGCCACCTCAGGAAGTTTTCCGATTAAATCTTGGACCACCAATCAGTACCAGTGGCTCAGCCAGAAGGAGGGCAGCAGGATCGTGCTTCCCTAAGCTTTCGGCAAGATTGGATTGGATATATTCACAATATAATACGACAAATGTATTGTTTTCTTATTTTACAGACTTTTCATGATTGTGAAAAGTGTATACTTATATTTACGTGGAACTACAATCACGTCTATTTGAAATCAATCCCCTCCAAACATTTCCTTTGCTTGCGCTGTGACCTCTTTTAACCAACATTTTCTGTATCACAATGTAAAGGTAAATAGAGTTGTAAAAGAGGAAAGCTGGAATAAATATGCCACAGTTTTAAAATGTTTGTGTAATTTTTGAAAAATATTGCCTAAGTAACGTTGATTTTACTGCTATTCTTTGTCTAAGTAGACCTTCTGTGCAAATTCAATTAAGTACTTACACAAGCTGATTGCATTTCTGTTGTTCAAACCTGACCTTAAACCCTTTTTCAACACAGTTTGTTATGGTCCATAAATCATACGCTAGCACTGTGGAATGAGATCATTTTTAATGTATCTCGACGTTTATTTCTGGTAATCTATAAAAATATCTCCCATACGCAGGATGGTGCGAACATTAGCTTGAGTAAAAAGTAATGTCTTTTTTTGGGTGTTCCTTAAAAGGTGTTATAAATCATATTATAGAAATATACAGAAGCAGCGATAATATACAGGGATATATGTGATTTTTTTTTCATGAAGTACCTATTGCTGCCTTTTAAAATACCTCCATATATATTTTTTTCTTATCGAATACTTAATTGTTTTTTGTTTCTGGCGTTCATTGTCTTTCCTGAACGATCTGAACAAGATAACACCTCGATCCCCGTTAAAAATATTCTCTCTTTCTTTCAGAATACATCGAAAGGACTCATTTAGAAGATTTAGGACATTCGTCGGATGTAGAATTCGTGAAACCTCTGAAAATAAGCCCACTGCCACTACACGACCACGACATTTTATATGACAAACTTCACAATAACCATGGTAAGTCCAGCACCACAACAATTAAAAAATCTATAAGATTAACCAAAAAACTAAACTACTAAATGCCTAAATCTTAACGTCACCAATATTAATGATTCGATGTTGTTAGATAGTATTTTTACATTTTTTTTTATATATTTCAATCTTTTTGCAGAAAAAAAGTACAAATTATTCAATTTCAATTGTAATATGAATGATTAATAGAAGGTACCTATAATAAATTAAAATTACGTGAATCACATCAAATTCCGCGTTGCTGCACTGCACTGCTAGGCAATTCGTCAACAACCGAAATTTATGACCCAGTATACATTTGTACCACCTCCACTTAGTTCGATCAGCCCTGTATATGGGTATGGCTAAATAAATATGGGAACAAGTTTTTCAAATATGTATTTCAATGCAGAGTTGCTGCGTAGCGACCGAACTTGGTACGTACTACCTAGCTCTTTGGTCTTCAATTGAGATCGGAAAGACTATACCTATTATCACAGTATTATATTTTAAAGAATTCAATTTTTCTTTTATTATTGTTAATTTCTACTATTGTTAAATGTAATCAGTAAATGCTATTTAATATTAATTTTGTTGTTATTCTCGGCCTAGGTTCTGCGGGACGAATCCGCTATCAGAATCTTTTTTGACACATATCTACCCAGAAAACGTTCTGCTTATAAACGAGAATTATTTTGCCTTGCTTTGCCATAAATTAAAACATCTATTAATTACGCATTGCTATATCGTAGATCATTTTGAACGCTCCTAATTGTAAGACTGATGTAAACCACGGTAATAGGAGCACTGTGAAAACCACAGTAATAATATATATAAGTTGCAATAATGTCGACGCATTTAAGCCTCTAATATGTAACGCCCTAAATATAATATATTTCAGATGCCTGAAATACATGCAATGTATACTCGGCACCGATATGAATTTCAAATATTAACGGATGGGTGCAAATGTTAGCCTAGATATCGTCGGCGAAAATAACGCGAAACTGGAAAATTGGAACAAACCAAACTATTCGAATTGCGTGTGAGAGAATAACTCTCAAAAAGAGATTTCAATCAAAAGTATAGCCGTTAATAGAGACAATAATATCCTGTAATTACGACAGGTGGATTGTCAGATTTCGTACAACCTTTGTGTGGGACATTTTTTTCTCAAATTATGTAAAAGAGCTACAGAACAAAGGACCTTAACTGAGATAACTCTGTACAGGGTGAATCAACGCTGTGGCAAAACTGATTTATCGTTAGAATATAATTGAGGTAAAATATTTCAAAATAGGTTCGGGTGGGGGGGCTTCGTTTTCGGAGGGCCGACCAAAGTTGTATTGTTTAAATGGAACACCCTATATTTGAGTGGTCACTGTTTATAATTGTCATATAGGGTGTTCACAAAATCGTAACAAATGTTATTTTTTTCAAGGGCAAAAATTTTGTTTTTTTTTCAAATGGAACACCCTGTATTTTTTAACGGGATGTGAAAGACCTTCTCAAAATCTACAACTTTCATAACAGGCGATATATATCAGTTCCTCATATTTTACATTGTTTTTCGCAATTTCCTTTTTCTTAATTTTTTTACCATAAATAGCGTCGACGTACTAGAGCTAAAGAGTTGAAACAAAGAAGCATTGCTTACTTTTTGCAGAATAGAACAATGATCCTAAATTACGCAGCTTTCTTATTCTTATTAAATTTTGAGTGAACGAGACATCTTTTATATGATAGCAAAGTATATAACGAGCGTTCAAATAAAAACGTGGTCGAAGTTGGCTCTGACACATTGGACGTAGGGAGTAGCTTATAGCGACCAACTTAACCTCATTTCTCAACGAGCTGTATAGCAGCTGTCAGTTTCAATAACGTTAATGACTATACAATAACTTTATTTTAAAGAATAATCGTGATAACAATAACAAACAATAATTAAAGGAGCTGCGGAAAGTGTCCCCCTCCTTGTTATAACAATAAATTAAAGCAGCTGCTGAAAGTGTCCCCCTCCTTGTTCCAAGCACTTTTCACACCTGTTCCTCAAAGAATTAAAGACATTTTCTAAGATGCTCGGTGTATTGTTAATTTCACGAATCTTGTCTATAAGTCGAGCCTGCAGATGGTTTAAATCAGGAATAGGCAGTTCAAAAATAGTGTTTTTAAGATAAGGCCACAAAAAGAAATCATACGGCGTAATATAACATGACCTCGGTGGAAATTCATGTTCAGCATTGAGACTTATTAGCCGATTTTGGAAAACTTCCCTCAACATATTCATCGTCTCGCCTGCCGTATGTGCCCTTGCGCCATCTTGTTGAAAGTAAAAGTTTGTAAATTCGTTTTCTTCCAGCTGGTTAACAAAAGGAGCGATAATTTCTTCTCTATACCTTTGCGCAGTAAGAGTACCATTAAAAAAAATAGGTCCATAAATCCTCCTTCGATTGGGAGCACACCAAACTCCAATTTTTTGAGCGTGTAGAGAGCCCTCGACAAAAAAGTTATCTGGTTTTTCAGAAGACCACATTCTCATATTCTGTGAGTTTACGTAACCACTTAAATGAAACCAGGCTTCATCAGAAAAAAAGGTGATATTATGAAGTTCACCGTAGTTGTTTAAAAACCATTCACAAAATACAGCCCGTCGTGGAAAATCAACTTCATGAAGTTCTTGCTGACAAGTTAAACGATAGGAGAACAAACACAAATCTTTTTTTAACAATGTGTGGCAGGTACCGACTGATACTCCCACCATTTGTGATAAAACACGTACAGAAGTTCTTGGCGCACTTTCCATCATTTGTTGGACATTTTCTTTTAATTCTTCAATTCGCTTTTTAGGTCGGCCGCTTCCTTCTTTTCTTGTTACACTGCCCGTTTCACGAAAAACATTAACACAACGCTGAACTGCACTTTGAAAAATTTTGTACTCAACAACGCCGGGAAATTGATTTTGCAATTCTATGAAACATTCCTCAATAGAATACTTCCATATTCCATCAATCTTGCGTCCATTTCTAAAGTAGGACTCTATGATAAACACTTTTTGTTCTTGAGAAAATACCATTCTAAACGCTTTTTAAAACGAATTTATTCAAATTGATACTTTGACAGATGACGTTTAAGTTCATTTGCTATACGCTACGCCCTACGTCCAAATTTTCAGAACCAACTTGACCACGTTTTTATTTGAACGCTCGTTATTTATACAAGTTTGCCTTATTCTATTTATGATATCGTCACGAATAGTTGGTGGCTCTATCTACCTTGTCTTTTACAAATTCCTACAAAAAAGTCAAGTGGTGTAAGGTCATATGATCTAGGAGGCCATGACAGTGGCCCATCTCGACCAATCCATCTATTAGGATAAATTTCATCGAAATAGGCTCAGCTTCTTCTCTTGAGAAATTCATTACGAATAAGTAAGAACAAAACCATACAAACAATATTAATTAATTAAGAATTACTATTTGAATCACAGAAAAACGCAAATTTCAACAGTCAAAGCTAATGACAGGAAACACTATTGACATTTACAAACATTTCTTTCCTTGGATATTTTCATAAAAAAATAAAGAAATTGCTAAAAATATCGTAAAATATGAGGAAGTGATATATACTTAACACCTATAATAAAAGCTGTAAATTTTGAGAAGGTCTTTCACATTCAGTTAAAAAATACAGCGTGTTCCCAAAAAAAAAACAAAACTTTTGCCTTTGAAAAAGATAACATTTGGTGCGATTTTGTGAACACTCTGTGTATGACATTTGTAAACAGTGACCACTTCAGAATTTACGGTAAACCTACAATATGTATGAAGATAGCTTAGATGTCAAAAAACGAGTATATCAGCAACGATCAAGTGTAGCACCGAAAATGTAATTTTTTATATTAAAATATTAATATCTCGGAAAATTTTTGGCACATTGTACCTATTGTTAGAGTCCGCTAAAATGGTAGCGTAGCAGATTTCGCTTGGCTTTGACGACCGGCGAGGCGTTGGCATAATATTGCAGACTGTGCGTTTAGGCTTTTATAAACTATAAATGAGATCACCCTAGAAATGCTTAAGGTGGCCATATTCCCGGCCGAGAAATAGTGAAATTTCTGGCGTTTTTAGGTACTGAAATCTTTAAAAGTAAAACGTGTAGAACAAAAGTAAGCACAAAAATGAAATCCTTGACGTTTTGTTTATTCATTGTTACCATTTAAATTTACTCAAATAAAATAATAACTAAAAAAAAGCGTTTGTAAAACATGCGTTTGCTGTTATTCTAACCCCACATTTTAAGAATTATTTTCACGTACTTATAAATAAAAGTAAACAATTTTATATGTAGGACTAAGCAAGTAAATGTTATAAGAATATTTATATGTGGAATTATATATAAAAAAGTTAGTATTTTCGTAGATTTCAGTACCTAAAACCTTGATGGTTTGATCGTTTTTTGCACCTGTTTATTCGTTTTACTGCGGCGTCTTTGAAAATACCCAGATGGCATGACATAACATTCCTATTATTTGATAAGCTTTAGATTATTCAGTTATTAAATGTTTGAAATTATTTGTCTTTGCGGAAAACACTATTTAAAGAATATGGGGCCCTTAAGGAGGAAGTATTAGTCAGTCAGTTGGTTACTGTATCAATAGATAGACCGAGCTTGATCTGTATATCTTTTCCCAATTAAAATAGTTTGTTTGAACTCGGTGGTGTCTTTTACAACCCTATTCATATTATACTATTACGAAAAAGTTGAATAATTCCATGGAAGATATAAATATCCACTGAAATACAGTGTTCCATATGAAAAAATACATCTTTGGTTAGCCCTCCGAAAACGAATCACCCTGTACCTATAAGTCAAATTAGGTTTAAAATGTGCATTTCTTGCCCCTCCACCCGAACCTATTTTGAAATATTTTGCCTCAATTATATTATTCTACGATAAATCTAATGTAACTTTAAAAAAAATACTAATTTCTCTAATTTACTTTCAAA